AACTCTATTTATATTTCTCTATTAAACAAATTAAAATGCTATATTTATATTTATTTAAACATTTATTTGTAAGTTATTAAACAATTGCATTCAATTCACTTTTATCAGTAACAGAGTTAAAAAAAATACATGAATTGTGCAGTTCCACAAAGAAAGGTTTTTAAAGCTGTCTAGTTTCCGGCAAATTCAAAACTTTTTTTGAATGTTTTCTTACACATTTCTTACATCATGTACTCTTATTAAATGTTGTCTTAATACATCTTTTATTGCAAATGCTTTATTGCAAATTTCACAACAGTAAGGACGTTCTTCTGTATGATACATTTTATGTCGACTTAATGATAGTTTTGTTGCAAATGATTTATTGCATATTTCACAAGGATTCACTCCGGTGTGAGAAATTTCATGTGTTTCTCGGTATTGCTTTGATGTGAATGTTTTATTGCATATATTGCACTTATGAGGTCTTTCTCCAGTGTGAATTGTTTTATGGTCTTTTAAATGAAGCTTTTGTCTGAATGCTTTATGACATATTTCACAACTGTAAGGAAATTCTCCAGTGTGAATCATTTTATGTCGTTTTAAATGACACTTTTCTATGAATGTTTATGACATATTTCACACTCATGCGGACGTTCTCCAGTGTGAATTATTTCATGATGCTTTAAATGATACTTTCTTTTGAATGTTTTGTGACAAAATTTACATTTATGTGGTTTTAGATTATCGTTTATTTTACATGTTTCAGATACACTTTCAAATGATTTGTTCATATTACTTGAATCACCAATGTTTTCGTTGAATATGTAAGTTTTCTCATTTAAACTTGTATTAGGCGCAGCATTTTGCCCATCGATCTTTTCTTGCTTCATTTCCTCTTCAATCGTAACCTCAGATTTTAGGAATTCCTGTAGGCATATTTCATCATTCTCCGTACTCATATTTGATGTATGTTCATTATCATCAACCTCTTGTTTCACTTGAGGATCTTGTCTAAAATCTTGCTCATCGATGATTTCATGCTTTATATCCTCCTCAACTGTAACCTCTGATATTAGAAATTGCTGTGGACAAATTTCATCATTCTCCATACAAATACCTGTTGTATTTTTATAATCTTCAAGTTCTTGTTTAACTTGAGGATATTCGATCGGTTCAATTTTAATTTCTGTGCTTGAATTTGTTTCTTCAAACATTTTCAACTTTTGTAGGTTATGGTAATTTGTGCAATCTAACTGTGTCTGTCTAAAAGTCGAAAAGCATTGTAATTTATGTGTTAGGAACGTTTAATAAATATATTTTGATAATTATTTATATGTTATAATACTAACACTGACCTTTTTCTTATTATTTTATATTTTTCACTTGCTTTATTTACGCACTTTGACAGTTTGACAGTTCTACTACTACTTCGTTTGTGATTGGTCAACACTAATAACATTTCAACTACGAGTTTAATGGCGGCAAAATTCAAAATTATATATCATATGGTATAGAAAAAGACAGATTGTGGTTCAATATTAGTTCAGAACGAATTATTGTTACATCAAGTTGTATGTTATTAATGCAGAAGTTAAAAATCGTCTTAATAAGACCGCTCCAGTCCGGAAAATCAATGATAGCCAATGATAGAAATTTAACCAACTCAAGGTTATCGTATCGTCGAATTTGAACAAAATGACTTTCTTCAACTAAAAGTCGACCGACGTGTTGATCTAACTCTGATAATTTATTACCAAGAACGGATTGAGTGCCAAGTGTTGCAAAATTTAATTTCAAACTTTGTATATTTAAATTTGGCGCCCATATCCATCTGGCAACTGTCAAAACAGTTTCTCGGTTTCACCACAGAGGCCACGTGCATCTTGACAGTTCTCACTTTTGACATTCACTTCAAAAAAAGAAATTAATTTAATAGAAATAAGACGCAAAAATTAAAATGTAGTTCATAAATAAATAAAATACAAATAAATAGGAATTATATATAAGTTATATCTAAGTATTTATTACCTATATATCGATAACAATGTTTTCTTCAGGGATTCCCCTCGTTGAAGGTTATAACAAATGACATACTTGTATCAATTACCATGTTGCAAAATTCTACATCAAGGGCTCCTTCGTCCTTAGAAGACGACTGTCTGAGTCCTGTGCAAACACATGCCCTACAACTGGCTTTAAAAACAATGAATGAACGTTGTCAACAGTTACAACAAAGATTGATTTCTGTGGAAGAAGAAAACTTGAAGTTGAAGTCTCAACGTGATAAGGATTGTAATTTGAGGACTGATTATGCTAAAAGGCCCTCGGAGTACGAGATGCTCAAGGATAAAGTCGAGGAATTGAATAGGCAGAAGAACCAGTTGACGCAGCATATAAATATGGTTGCTACGGAAAATAGGCATTTGTGGACACGTTTGTCAAAGATGACTAAGGATAATCACTCCTTAAGTAAGCTACTATAGCTTTATATATATATTTCAACCACTACATAAGTCTTTTACCTTTTATCTTTTAGGTTCACAATCGTCCAAACTACTAGACTCCATTGAGCAACCAACGTCTATACCCAAACCGCAAGCCCACCATCACATAATCCGGTCCAAAACCTTTACCCAATCAACCCCGAACCCCAAACTGTGCCCCAAAATCTCCTCAGAGTCTGATCTGAGTCTCGAAGAGATTTCTTTAAAATTAATCAACAATTTCATACAAGACAAATCAGTATTAGAAGAAACAGTATGAGCAGATGATTGAAATGCATTCCGATTTAGAAAGTGATGAAGCCCCCTTGAAAAATATAGGCTTTTCGTATATTACTGATGCCAATGATGATTCTGGAGTAGCCTTGAATCAGTGTACAGATGGTTTTCGGGATGTTAAGAGGCAAGTTTTGGAGCAGAAGAATTGTTTGAACGAGATGCTGAATTTGCTGAGAAATCAAATTAAAGGTAAGGGTAATAAAAGACTTATTATATATATATATATATATATTTGGTACAATTTATTTTTTTTAATCAAGACAAATATATATATATATATATATATATATATATATATATAATAAAATTGTTTTTTGGGCATCCATCCAGTAATTAAGAAACAGTTTTATTGAAAAATCTTTTTATTTAGAGAACATACGTTTTGGGTCTTAATTTGACCCATCTTCAGTGCTACAATTAAATATTTCAGGGTTACAATTTAAAAACAATATAAAAAAATACATAATTAACAGACAAAAATAAGTAAAACAATGTATATGAAAAGTATATAACGACATTTTATCAATTTTTTATTTCATATTTTTTTTTTTTTGGTGCAATTTTGTGTGTTTTTGTGTTATTTTTCAAAGTTTATTTGTATGGTGAGTTTCTTTACATTTGTTTATTTTATGGTTGTTTTTCATATATACTGTTCATATACATTGGTTTTACTTATTTTTGTCTGTAATTATGTTTTTTTTTATATTGTTTTAATTTGTAACCCTGAATTATTTAATTGTAGCACTGAAGATGGGTCAAATCAAGACCCGAAACGTATGTTCTCTATAAATAAAAACATTTTTCTTTAAAACTGTTTTTTAATTACTGGATGGATGCTCAAGAAACAATTTTATTATATTATTTCACCATCTGAAGAAGAATCTCTCACTTTATATATATATATATATATATATATATATATATATATATATATATAAAGTGAGAAATTTTATATATATATATACATATATGTGTGTGTGTGTATTTTTTTATAAATTAATGTAACATAAAAATAGTACATTATAATTAATTTCTTGATAGTTTTGATGGAATAAATAAAATTCTACTTTAGAAATGCTTCAAAGATATTTAAAGCTCATTACTGATTTATTTTATTATTATTTTACTATTTTTGTTGTACAACTTTGCTTCCGCGGTTTCTACAATACAATTTGTTCACAATAACGGCGGAGACAAAATTGTACATTTAATATATTTTCAATTGCTATTTTAAAGTATACCGAGTTGCTGTATGGCGTCATAATGTTAGAAAATATTTCAGATTATTTAATTTTGAATAAATTTCCCAAATACATCATTCATATTGAACAAATGGTTTTAAAGTTACAAATGACAAAACAACAATTCACACTTTTTCACTTTCATGAGTAAATTCCGAACCAAGAATTCACTAAGCACACTATGAAGGAAATTTTTGAAAATATATAGAATGAATGGAAACTAGTATACTTCATACTCAAATTATTTGTTAGGTTTCAATTGCGATTTTAAAGTATACCGAGTTGCTTTAGAGTCTTATATCATTAGAAACGTTTGTAGATTGATTAATTTGGAACAAATTTGTCGAATACATCATTCATATTAAACAAATGCTTTAGAAGTTAGCACTCATATTCTAAATAAATGCATTTTTAATATGCTTCAATAATATATCTGTTTCCAATTTCATTTTAAAGTATACCGAGTTTCTGTAAGGCGTCATAATGTTATAAAATATTTTAGATTATTTAATTTTAAATAAATTTCCCAAATACATCATTCATAATAAACGAATGGTTTTAAAATTATAGAATATACAATGAATGAGTGCCTAAATTCGAAGTTGTACACCTAATGCTTCCATTGTTAAAAAAAAACACTCCAGATCCAAATAGTTTTAATCTGAAATATTTAATAAACTAGTGGTGTATGGCATTGTGCCTTAAGGCAAATTGCTGGAACTTTCCGTACCGTAATGAAATATTCGAGAAATTTTAAACGTATTAAAATATATTATTACAAATACTGTAACTTTCATTATTTTTGCTATCTTATTGTTATATCAGAGCAAATCAAATGTAAATTATAAATAAATAAATTTATCTCCAGGAATATTAACTATCGTCATTTCATTCCGAAATCAATTTCAAAAAAAAAAAAAATAGTTGCCTAATTTACACAAAATTGAAAAAGTGCTCCCTCATAGCATTTGTAAATAATTCTGTGCGACATTTTCACTTATACTGTGCTTAGCTTGGCGGCATTTTCACATTTTTTAATAGTTTTCTTACAAAATTGGAAGTACTCCAGTACATAAACAGTCTAAACGCACTTGGGTAAACATTTGTACCAGAGTGGCGCTTAGACTGTGCTTAGCCTGGGTAATTTTTTGAATTTTTAATTTAAAATTACAAAAATATTTTATGGAAAATAAAAAAAAGATGTAATATTTTTTTATTCTCAAAAGCAATTGTTTTGTCAATACAAGCAGAATGTTTTTTTTAGATCATTCAAATCGGACTCTTAGTTCACTCGAAAACTGCCATTTTTGCACATTTAGCTCTGTATCTTCGAAATGGCGGGACCTGCCTTTGCCAAAAACTAATCACCTCTTCTCCTAATCATCACAAATTGAATGTTTTTTAGATCATTCAAATCCGATACTCCGTTCTCTCAAAAACTGGATTTGTATTTTTTGCACTCTTTTCCACCTGCCTTTTCCAAAAACCAAGTTATTAAATATTTTTAATAATCTTCAAATTTTACTAACAATATGAGTCCCTAGATTTGAAATGCTAAATTATTTGCGCATTTGTTCATTATTTATCTTGTAACTTTTAAACAGTTTGTCTAATTTAAATGAAATAGTCAACAAATTTGTTCAAAATTAAATTATTCATAAGTTTTTCTAACATTATAAACTCCTACAGCAACTCGGTATACTTTAAAATAGCACTTAAAAATAGATCAGTCGTCCCCAAGTCATATAGCAAATACTATTTCCAATTTAAATTGTTTTTAAATCTTAAACCATTCGATTAATACGGATGTTGTATTTAGTAAACTTATTGTAGGTTACTGCTTTCGTTCACGTAGTTTTGTTCACATAAAAAAAAATAAAAAGAGTGCGCGTAAGGATCACACGCGATTGAAGTAAAACTTATTTGCTACTGTATAAAGTAGCAAATTTAAGTTGAGTAAAAGTAAATACATTATATAAAAATTTTGAATAATGTTTATTAGTAATATGGTAACACTCGTGATGCACACATTTATTAGTGTCGACCATTATACACATTTATATAATGATAAATTATAAATTATATATTTATAATAGCATTAAAAGTATGTATAATATTTAAAAACAATAATTTAATCAAAGTCGTACTTGAAATATGACATGATCGTTTTAAAGTAATTGCTGATTAATAAATTCTATAATATTCATTCACATAGTGGATTATGTTAAACAACGCCTAAACAAATATTGTTTTTGCAAATTAACTCATCCTGTAACAATTGTGTTTGAAGAACTTCATGTAATTAAAATTAACATACATTCATTTACTTTTACTTTATTTTTTTACTTTTTCGCTGACGATATCTTCTAACGTCTTGCCTAACAAATTGAAGCCATACTTTTATATTTGTTTTGTTTATCAAGCCCTGCACATAGCTTGATCTATGAATCATTTGTTTTTTTATGTGAACGTTAATGCAATGATCATCATCAATATTACGAGGTAATATATTAACCAAATTATTAATGTCAACAGGCACATTTATGATTTGACCAAATATTCCAAATTGTCCATTTGCATGTCGCAATAGTTTAATTTGCACGAAACATAACCTAGGTGAAATTAACCTTTCAGATACAGTATCTAGTTTAGGTAGATAATTTGGTATAAGTGGAAATACAAACCCGTTAAATCTACACAAAGTGGGAATTTTACCCGAATTTAATATCTTTCGACAAGTTTGACATCCGACCTGATTGTTTGAATCAATATTCAAAAAACATTATTAAGAATTTGTTTTTGAGCATCATTTGATATTTCTAAGTCACTTTGAAGCTAAAGTCGATCACACACAAAACATACATAGCCAAAGCTATCATTTCTTACGCAGCGCAGATTTTTCCTTAGTTTCATTATTTATTTGCGATCATTTGCACTACAATTGTTTATGGGGGACGGGATAAAATATTCTTCCGATCCTGACATTTTTATTAACTCACGAATTATACTGCTAACCCATGTCGCGCCTAAAGAAGTTTTACTTCAAAAACAGAAAATATTGAAGTAACGCTTACCATGCATAACCGAGCCTAAGTAAAAATGTATGAGAAAGCGTTGTGTTAGGTTCAGACGACATGGCAAGCATTAATAGAATTTAAACTATTTTCTGAACAAAAGTATAGAAAAATTTCTAAATCTTAATTCTTATTGAGCGGGTCAATTATTAACATAGACTTCAAGGCAAAATGATACTACCTAACCGTCTTTTTTCCAGATAAACCAGTATGCACAAAATGCCAAAAACCGATCCCAGACCTCAACGCGACTCCAGAAAACGACTCCTTATTCAAAGAATGCCTCAATGAAACAAAATGGGCCACACCGATCTCATCAACGTCCCAAATGATTGCAGAAGACTTGTCACAAAATCGTGGCCCTTCGAACCTTTTCAGGCCCATCAGCGAAGACAACCTCAAAACCGACGACTGTAACGATTCTGAAGAAAATTACGAGACCATGGTCTCCAAAATTTGTCCGATGTGTAAAAAGGAGTTTCCTGAATACAATTTGAACGAATTGACTGAACATGTTAATGGCCATTTTTCGGAAGGGAATAATATGGCCATTGATTCGAATTTTGAAATCGTGACGCACACTGTTGGGAATTTTTAAATTGAGGTAATAATAGTTGTAGGAAAATGTTTAATTTTATATTTAAGGGGGGTATTCTAGTGTAGAGCGATGGATTTTAGTTTTTTTTTTATCACTTGTTTATTAATATTATTAAAATACAAAACAAAAATTAAAAAATAAAAAAGTTGAAAATTGTAAAAACTGGCAGGTGATAAAGTGGGTGGTCTCAAAAAATTTTCACCTCAGTCTTGACATGATTTCAGCCCTCCTAGCCATCCGAAATAAAAGAAATAAAAATATTATTAATCTACAATGATGCCGCAATCGCCCGAACTAACGCCGAGTAAAAAAATTTTTTTTACAAATTGGCGACTGTTTGAAAAAAAGTGTTCTTTTTACTGTTTTTTTGAGTTTCTCGAATTTTTTAAAAATAGTAAAAATTGGAATTTGGAGATAATCCTAGTTCGGGCTATAGATAGGTCTATAAACAAGACTCTCTGAACATTTCAAGTGAATCGGTCGATTAAAACTCGAGAAATCGTGTCAACAGTACTGAAAAAGTCTGTTCTGAGAAAAACGCATTTAAAGTTTCGCGTGAAGCCAAACCAGTATGGAGACCGAGTCAGTAAAATGCCTATATATGCGAAAATAATCCAAATTTTCAAAAACCTTCTCGTACCCATATTCTTAGATAGTTGAACTTTGAAAATATGAAATAAAAAAAAATCATTTTTTTGAATTTCTACACCAGAATACCCCCTTAATTGTTAGCATTTTTAGATATAAAATTGATTTATTTATATTTTTGAACAATTTTTTTATATTCAATAATCCTTGTATAGGGTCTGCCTAATAACTTTTCTGTTTTTTAATATAAAAAAACTATTCAATGCATTTTAATAATGAAAAATAATTTTATACAAATGGCTGCCTAACTTTTCAAAATGGCCACCAAATAATTCAAAATGGCCGCCAAATAATTCAAAATGGCCGCCAAAAAATTCAAAATGGCTAACAGACCCTTTATAAAAAGTATTATCATCTTATTATTTATCCGGTAAAGGCATTAAGTATATTTTTATATAAACTGTAAATATGTATAAATAAAAACACATATTTTAACTTAAATTTTTTAATAAACTTAGTAATACAAATAATTATCTAATTAAGCTAATTCATTCGGTTTTATATCCGTAACTGTAGTATTCGCTTCTTGTGTTGATTTCTGCAAAAGATTTTTACTAAACCAGGAAGGCCTTTGTTTCTTCATTTCTACGATTCTTTTGCCTTGCCATACCTCATCGGGCTACAAGATAAAGGATAATTATATATATATATATATATATATATATAATATATATATATCTTATATATAAAATTATTCTGTAATGAAGTATTAAAGGTTAATCCTCCTGAACAATTATTCCGATTTTCATAAATCTTCCTGAAGTTTGTTAAGGGAATTTTCTAGGATTTTTTGATTCATAGAAGTATAGTTAGATTGTAGAAATGAATAGAAAAAATTACAAAAAAACGGTTATCATTGATTAACATTGAAAATATTTGAGGCATTGTTTGATATTAAAAACAAATGTAGACTGTCATTTGCCAAACATTTCTATTCACTTATGGGCTAAGACAATATTAAAATATAATATCTTTATGATTATGAATAAGAAAAATGTAATGTCTACATTATTATTGCCATAAAGCAGATGAGATGTGCCAAAAATTAAAATAATACAAGATACATTATATATTTAGCACAGGAACTGTCTGTAAATATACCCTTTATAATTAATTAGACAGATTATTATCTTTTAACTAATGTCGTCGTGGCTTGCCTTACTTTACTAAATCACAATACAAAAAAAATTACTTATTCAAAAAATTATTTAGAATTTTCATTGTATCAAAAATTCATATGTTTGGCATTAGATACGGAATATTTACTCAAGTCAATGGAGCGTTTTGTGTCAGAATTTTTTTTACTGTGCTCCAATTTGCATGAGGCTAGATTTGGGTACAGGACAATGTCTGTCGGGTCATCTAGTATATATATATATATATATATATATATATATATATAATATAAACTTACTTTATCAACTTTTTCACCATCATAAAGCACAACAACTTCTTTATCATCTGGATTCAAGCCTAAATCGTTCACAATCCTGTCTTGCATTTCTTGTGTCTCTGTTTTAACTTTGTCGTAACAGTGTTCTGCAAATTACAATAAATACATATGTATATATATATATATATATATATATATAAATCTCGTGTCACGATGTTGGTTCGCGATGGACGCCCAAACTACTGAACCGATTTTAAATTTTTATTGGCTCATCGTGTGCATATATATCCAACTTAGGTTATAGGAAATTTTGAAAAGTAAATTTGAAATGTAAATATATAATTTTTATGAATTTCTAAAAATTTTGACAGAAACTTCATCAAAACATTATAGATCAGAGATCACAATAAAAAAGCGGCATATTGAATTTAAAATTAATCATAAACAAAATTTTGACATTTCACAAAAAAAGCAATAATAAATTAATTATTCCAAGTTATGTTATAGGCAATATTGCCAAGTAAATTATATATACAAAACATTATTGTAAAATAAATATTATCATATTATATTAATTTTGGACCAAGAAGGAAATATTTTTATAAATTTTAGTGCATATTGGATATATCAAATTGACATTCACTATTTTTCAATTAAATGCAAATGTAAAAAATCAAATATTTATATAAAAAATTGTATATTTAGATAAAGATACTGCATTGATTTAGACTAAAATTTAATTTATTTTTTAATTTAAAAAAAAAATGACAAACAAAATTAATTATTATCGGAATTATTTATCGGAGTGTAAAGAAATTTGTGTAATTAAAATATAATATTATTATTAATATATCAGTTAAGATATATTTTGATTGTCATCGCAAATGCTAATCTTACAGGAAATTGTAACCTCTTACAGGGAAATAGTACAATCTGAGGGTATCATTTGAATCTGACAAAAACAAACTAGACAAACTAAATATTATATCATATTATATTAAATTTAGACCGAAAAGAAAATATTTTGACATTTATAATTAATTTGAAATAAAATGCAAATGTCAAAAATCAGATCTTTATGTAAAAAATATTTATTTCCACAATATTCCTGTGTTGATTTAGCCAAACTTATGAATTTAACAATTACATAATTATTATTGATGACTTAAAATAATTATTAATTTATTAACAAATAAATAATATTTGAAAGAAAATTTTATTGACATATATGACACGACAAAAGTATAATAAACAAAAAACTATGATGCGAGTGAATTAATTTTTGAAGTATGAAATGTCAAATAATTTTGAAAATTATAACAAATTTTTAACTATTTGTCAAAGAATCAGAGTCCAAATCTATTAAATATTTGATTTTTGGCACTTTTATTAATTTTTTATCAATTTAGGCATATTTTTTATGGCAAAACAACGTTTGCCGGGTTAGCTAGTATATATATATATATATATATATACATATAATCTAGTTTTACCCTATCTAACTGAAAAGTGGTGTTTCCATATGAAATTTTTGAGTTATTTGACAAAAACCAAAAAAATGTCCTGAATTTTCTATATTTATTGCTTAAGACTGAAATATCGATATATATATATATGTATATATATGTATATATATATATATATATATATATATATATTTCTTCTACTCACTGCATAAGATTCCCGCTTCATGATAATGTCCACAGCTTTTACAGACTAGTATGTTTGTTTTTGGAATGTAAGGCTTCCAGATGTAATCAGGGTTACCAAATTTTCTGTTTAGACGTTTTTCAATGGTTCTTCTGGATTTTGGCACTGCCCATAATAGGCCATCGCCTATTAGGTCTTTTAAATTGAATTTTGTTGGCGATGATGGTGAATTAGGGAGAGACGAGGCTGGTGAGAGGATTGCTAAGTTGTAAGAATCTGGAAAAAGATAGAAATATATATATGTATATATATATATATATATATATATATATATTTATTTAGTTCCTTGTACTGTCAGGTTAGGTCAAGACTTCTTTCGCCATAAAAGTGCATTGAAGAACTCTTTTTTGTCATAAAAATGCATTAAAAGACTTCTAAATATACTAAAAATTGTACTTTATAACTTTTTAGTATCTATTACACATCCACGAAGCTACATTTTGTATATATTTTAATGAAATCTAAAAAAAGATTATTGTACTGTCGAGTTATGTCAAGACTTGTTTTGACATAAAAATGCATCGAAAGACTCCTCAACATACTAAAAATTATATTTTGTACCTTTGTAGTATCCATTACACATCCACAAGACTACAAAATGCATAAATTTAATGAAATCTTTAAGATCAAGACTTTTTTGACATAAAAATCCATTGAAAGACTCCTTTTTTGTCTCAAAATTGCATTGAAAGGCTTCTAAATATACTAAAAATTGTACGTTAGAACTTTTTAGTATCTAGGCTACATTTTGAATATAATATAATAAAATCTAAAAGAGATTCTTGTGCTGTCAGGTTAGGTCAAGTCTTCTTTCAACATAAAAATGTATTGAAAGACTCCTTTTTTGCAATAAAAATGCATTGCAAGACTTCTAAATATACTAAAAATTGTACTTTATAATTTTTTAGTATCTAGGCTACATTTTGTATATAATATAATAAAATCTAAAAAAGATTCTTGTACTATCAAGTTAGGTCAAGACTTTTTTGACATAAAAATGCATCGAAAGACTCCTGAATATACTAAAAATTATATTTTGTACCTTTATAGTGTCCCTTAGACATCTACAAGGCTACAAATTGCATAAATTTAATAAAATCTTTAAATAAAGAAGGATTTTTCTAGTCTGTCATGTTAGGTTAGGTCAAGACCTTTTTTTTTTGCATAAAAATGCATTGAAAGACTCCTAAATGTACCAAAAATTATATTTTGTACCTTTATAGTTTCTCTTACACATCTACAAGACTACAAATAGCATATATTTAATGAAATCCATATATGAAAAAAGGATTCTTCTAGTCTGTCAT